GTCGAGGATTTTGTTGCACCATTTGCTGGTTCAACCAGGTCTCATACTGTACTATCATATCTTCCAGCTGATTAATTTGCGCCTGTGTTAAGTGGTCATAAGTTGGTTCTCCAGCTGCAATACTGTCTAACACTTTTCTTATACGCTATACAACAAAGAAAGTCAAACATAATCATAGGAAAATTGTCCAACTGAGACAACCAAAAGAACAGATTGCAAATACTATACAATTACAAGTATATCATACTTTTGCTAACAGTTAAGTGTGTTGACTATGATGGAAACAGATAAGCAATGTGTGTTTTGGTACAGACCAGGGAAATTTTTCATAACTATGTACGGTCATAAAATTAAATATATTTCTTACATTTTATACAAATATTAAGTGGAATAAGATTTTCATTAAGACGTTGAGTTGTATTAAGATAAAAAATGCACCGTCAATTACTTTGGAGGTTAGTGAGCTAGTCATAATACTTAACTTAGTCTGCGAAATATGGTTACCATAGTCTATCTTAGTCGTTTTCGAAAATCTTTGTGATACCACTTGTTTGGATGGACCGAACCAATGATAGCATTCCCATGAAAAAATCTAGATTTCACTCAGTTAAATAAAAATACATAAAAGTGATTTTATAAACTTGAGCATCTACAGCTATCACAAACTGAAATCAGGTCCAAGGATTCTACAGTCTTAATTAGGTCGCTGTGTTACAATCTATTTCGTCATACACGATTTTTAGAACCTGTTTGGACAATACAAAGTTCTACAGTGATTATCAAGTCGAACATTAGTTTTCGGTATAAAATCTTCTATTAACTTACTTCCTTTATAATCAAACTGACTGATATTAAGTGTCATTAGTTAAAAAGCAAATAATATTTGTCACTGTTTTTAGCTGAACGACTCTGAATACGATTGTTTTGAAGATAGATGGAAAAGCACTTCACACGCTATTTTGGCGGAAGTGACGAAAGCAAACTTAAATCACCAGAAAGAGATTTAGCGACAAAACACCAACAGCAGTGATAATCTTGATCGTTTACTTTTACTAAAATACGGACTCGTATACGATTAATTTGGCATTTATCCTTAATCATCTTGGGATACACCCGACCGCGGCTGCGATCTTGACGTGGTGGTTGGGCTTACCTATCGTGATGACCCAACCGGGCTATATTGACTGGAACATGTTCCTGTACGTTCTACCATGCCAAGCATATCGATTGGAGAACGGTAAGACTAAAAGCAGCTACTCAAGGTCTGAGGGGGAAGTCGTACTGCTGACTGTAGAGGGTTGTGACAGCAGTAAGGTGTTTTCCTCTGGAAACCAGCATCTGCGGCGATGCTGCCTTCTCACAAGGAAGGGTGGGGTTAAGAAAGATCGACCCTAAAAATGTCATACCTAACCTTATCTGACAGATCTTCGTCTCTGGTGATAAGTCCCTTTGAAGAACGGAGCTAACACGTTTAAAACCTAACACAAAAAGGCCGTGCGCGACCGGCCTCGAGCAGTTGTCCTTTGGGCTATGCGGTCACGCTCCCAGGTCGTTGCTCCCAAATGCCCTGGTACGGCCGAGAGTGGGGAGAGTCCGCTCTCCCTCTCGAAATGCTCTCATATGGCCACGTGTACATAACCCCTGCCAGGGGAGTCCTACTCACTGCCTTCTCGTGGCAGGGGTGTTGTTTACGAAAATGAGAGGACGAAAAGCGAATGTCCGGCGCTTTAACCGGACCCCAAATCAATGGTGCACATGGGCTCCAGTATCCTGAAGGAACAAATGGCGTATGAACCAATCGTTGGTCACCGGATACCATGGGACTGCATCTCCTCACGATGCTCCACTGCCTTGTGGATCAGACGTTCAGGTCAAAGGCTCGGGGTGTGGCCCCCTAAGAAAACCACCTGCTTCGGTTTGGGCACCCGGGCAGTATCACAGCCCTCACACAAATCAATTGAGATTCGTGTGGCGCATATGTATTTGGTGCCTCCTTGTACCAATACCTATGTGTTAAAGTAAATAAATAAATAAATAATCCCAGGTCGTTAAGACCAACACTAGCCCAACTTCCTTTCCAGGTTTCTCAAGGAATACCCTTCCACGGTGTGGGCAGCCGGGAAGTGACATCAGCTTTCATACCCGTAACAACACACGAGATCAAGCTAGTGACAATCAAGTCCTTCCTGAACCTCCTAATAACTCTTCTATCTTCACGACTAAGCCTTCTCATGTTCCTTTACCATCTCGCGCCGCTAATGCAAACGATTCGAGTACGCGGACTCCTGAAACCATACTCTAAACCACATGTAGGAGCCTTTAACATCTGAACACTGTGCCAAATAGGACAACAGGATTCCTTAGCTAGGACTTTAGAATCTCGCGCTATCGATGTATGCTGCGTCCCCGAAACGCACATACAGGATCCGAGTAGCGTCATTTATTTGACCTCGCCATATCAAAATAAAGAACCATCTCGATTCACGCTCCGTGTATCTGGAAATCCTGATGCTGCTTCCCGTGTCCTCGCTGGCGTAGGTATAGCATTGAGTCCTAGGGCAGAACTAGCTCTCATAGACTGGATCCCAGTAGGCAGTCGTTTGTGTGCTGTCCGACTAAACGGAACAGTAAGGACTCGGAAAGATAGACACTCGTCGTCTCTGCCTACTCTCTCACTGACTGCATCCCAGATGAGGTAAAAGATGAGTTTCACAGAAAGTATTCTGACCTCAAAAAGACACCTGGGTGGATTTTATGGTGTCGTGGCTCCAAGAACAGATATTGGCGACCGTCGATTGCAGCTATGATCAGATAACCCCCTGTTCCTAGCAAATACTAACTTTAAGCATAAGAAAAAACATCTTTTGACCCAACTAGATCACATCGCTATCAGTCACCGATGGAAGGGCTTGATAGAAGACTGCTTAGATTCAGATAATGTTCTAGTACAAGCGCGTATGTCTGTGACTTACTGGACGTAGGAAAGACGCCGCAGAAAAACCTCTCAGGGTTTTACTTAATGATAACCAACCTAAGAATATATTTCAGGAACAACTAGAAAAAGTTAGGCAGCCATGTAAGTGATGTCCACCACGAGGCAGCCTGGAATGATATCCAAAAAGCTGTGAAAAAGGCATTGATATCCGCTAGCAAGGTAAAACAAAATGTTAGGGAGAAATACTAAGTCTCAGCAGCATCTACCGCACTGAGATGCTCGAGAACTCATCCCACCTGGCTCTGAACATGATGGAGAGCAGCGCATGTTGTTAAGAAACCTACGCAATGATCGCAAACAGTGGTGGATAGCGAAAACGAAAGAGATGGAAAAAGCAGCAGGCAACTGTTCAGACTCGAATGGCAAGTTAATGTAAGTCCTCCGACTCTTTATGAAGTTGAAAAAGCTATAGGAGATCTGAAGCGTGGGAGAGCAGCAGGTCCTAACAGGTTTACCACTGAGATTTTTAAGGATGGCGGTCCAGTATTAGCAGTAAGACTGACTGAGGTCTTAGGTAGAATCTGGGAACTGGACGTAATCCCATCTGACTGGTATCAATCACTGATTGTGCCAGTCTTTAAGAAAGGACAAAAGTCTTCTTGTGACAATCACAGAGGAATCAGTTTAACATAGTGTCTAAAATATTAGCTTCAATATTACTTCGACGCCTAACCGAAGCTCGTCAAGAGCAGACTAGAGAAAACCAGGCTGGTTTTCGACCTGAACGTGTCTATATAGACCAGATATTCACATTACGTCAGGTCCTAGAACGTAGACACACATTTAGACGCCCCACAATAGTAGTATTTCTCGACCTTAGGGCGGCATTTGACTCTGTTGATCGTGAGCGGAGTTTGTCTCTGAAAGGAGTACCAAAGAAGTATATCAACGCTATACAGGCTCTACTCGAACACAATTGGTCGAGTGAGAGCTTATGGCAAACTATCATCAGAACCGATTACTTCAAGTGGTGTTCGTTAGGGCTGTCCAATCTCTTCATTTTTGTTTAACTTTGTCGTTAACGTGCTTTTAAAGACGACACTTTCCTCATCTAAATTTTCAGGGGTAAAACATTTACAGGGAGATTCACTTTTTGACTTAGAATATGCCGATGACATAATTATATTTGGTGAAGACGCAGACAAAATGCAGACTTTTGACCACTCTAAGCAACAATGCAAGCATGTTCAGGATGCGATTCTCTCCCTCGAAATACAAAGTGTTGATTCAGGGTTGGGTTGCATCGACACCTGAACTAATCATAGGAAGTGAAGTAGTTGAGTGTGTCGACCGCTTCACTTATCTTGGGAGTTTCATCAACCTTTGTGGTCCAGTGTGTGACCACATCTCTGCACAAATAACGAAGGCTCGATTAGCTTTCGCCAACTTGTGTCATTTACGGTGTAGGTCAGATATCCATCTACCAACCAAAGAACCGATTTACTGTACAGCAGTTCGCTCCGTCATACTTTATGGCAGTGAAACATGACCGGCAAGAGTAAATGATATTCGTAAGTTACTAGTATTCCACCATAGGTGTCTTCGAAGCATCGTCCGTATATTCTCGGACCACCGAGTAAGTAACGCGGTTGTTAGGAAACGGGTACTACGTAGGTACTAGGATGGCAAATCAATTGATGAAATAGTGAAAATTCATCAGTTGAGATAGCTGCGGCATGTTTTACGTATGTCCAACCACTGACTGCCACGACGAGCGATGTTTTATGGTGTGGGAGTATGTTGGAAGAAAGCTAGGGGCGGCCAGACAAAACACATGGCACAAATCCATAGTCACTGACAATTGGACTGAGTGAGCCATGTTGGTAGGTGTAGACTACATGGTTGGGATCCGCGAAACGATAGCAACCGATGATTAGAGACCTTGAATGACATGGCTCAAAATCGTTTACAATGGAGCAGGTGCATCCACTCTTTGTGTTCTCACAAATTCTAATCTTTTGAATTCTTCATGTCCCTTTATTTTTTTCTCTTTCCGAATTTATTTCACTCGATTATACTTCTTGAATAACATCTTCAAACCTTAATCTTTCCGGTTACTGCTTATACTTTTACTACCTCAACTACTATGGGATTTGAATCGACAATTGTATCTTTGTGTCAATGTGGTATGGTAACCTGAACTGATGTACGTCCGTACGTACGAAGTTCTACGTTGTTGCTGACTGACTGGTTTCGGCATATATAATTGTCGTAACGAATCTGGGTGACTTAATAATAAGCGTGCTTGATTACTAATTTACATAGCCATCAAATTTGGTGGGATTTTAGTCATCACACAATCCTATGCAAACGTGACAAATACTGTTAGTCAGTGATTGAAACAGGTACCAAAGGACTAGACCGCATTGAGGGTGAAGGCAACAGAGACATTTAAACCAGATAGAATGGAATTCAGAACATTATTTTTGAGATAACTAGATTTGGCTAATACTGTAGTACAAACTCATATAATGTTAGACTTAACAGGTTTAGTGAATGGATTATAGTGTAGCATATACACGCTAATGAGATAACTCACCACAAGTGACCGATTGAAATTGTCAACGGCTAAAGGACGATTAAGATGTTCGTTCGCTCGATGGACAATTGGATCTCCCTTGCTCCTTAACTCGGCAAGCTTTTCTACATAAACGTGACGTTTTAAGCTCTCACCGTCACCATACAACCATTCTTCTGTCATATCTAATAACTGAAGTAGTGATTCTGACTCAGCAGGTGAAGTGAACGGATTTAATGGTCCTTGAAGTTTAGACCGCATTTCATAAACATACTCCTCAACTGCATTTTTGGAATTGACTCGTTCTCGTTCCAGTTTGTCCTGTTGAAGGAGATTAGCCTATTAAAAACAAAAGTGAGATGTCATGCAAAATTTGCAAACATGGCATATATTTTCAGTGTATACAAATTACTATTAACCGTAGGATTCGAACATTTGTCCGGTGTTCGTTTTCATTTTAGCGCACCCATTTTGAGGAAATTCTTAGGAAACACTTTACTTGTTTTTAGTTTAATGGATGATAGAAAATCGTGATACACAACTTTTTGTTTCGTCACAAGTTTGAACTATTCACAAAGCTTGAGTAGTTTTGTAGTGATCGAGACAACGCTACAAGAATATCGATAAGAGAAATATAGGCTGTTGTGGAAGCGAAAGTTAACCTTATATAGTGTTGGTGGTCCCTTCACATGTCTGAATGAGACAAATGAAGTGATGGTCAGTTGTTGCTAAGCGTAATCTATCAACTGGGATCAGCTGGATAATGGTTACCATTAAAGTAGAGTTCGTATATCGTCAGATTAACCACAATGTTTAAAACCTAGGAAAATAAAACTGTGGTAATGAGCCAGCACACGAAAATAAGGAGTGGGACTGAGTGCTTATATCTTTCATGGATTTCTATTAAAAACTTCAAATTCACTAAGTCCAATTTGGAGAGAATTATTTATATACCACACGTTTATACAGCCAGAAAAATACTATCTGAATGTTTAGAGCTTAAACTAAAACAGCTCTTTGTAGCAAAAAGCTCAATCTACTATGAAAAAGATGTTATGACTACAAAAAACCCAGACCAGACTGTGGATTTGAAGAACATTCCAAAAATGGACGAAAATACTCTCATAAGTATATAAATTTTTAAATGCATTAGCAGAAATTTAATGGTACATTTCGTGAATTCTGGAAGATAACAATCCTTAAGCAAACCAAGGGTAATTAGACATATATTTTAAGTTTTTTCCGAGTTTGCATTCCCAGGTATTTTGTATTTTAAAGCCCCCAGATGCCTTGGTATGGCCGAGGTTGGGGTGTTGTTTACGAAATTGAGAGGAAGAAATGCGAATGTTTGGAGCTTTAACCTGGTTGATAGACACCAAATACCCACCTAAAATTGTTTGGAAACCCTTAATCCAAACAAATGGTGTACATGCGCTCCGGTATCCTGAAGGAACAAATGACGTATGAACCAATCTTTGTTTACTGGTTACCATAGGACTGCATCTCCTTACACTGCGCTCCACTACCTTGTAGATTAGATCGTTAGGTCAAAGGCTCGAGGTGTGGCCTGCTAAGAAAACCACATGCTCCGGTTTAGACACACGAGCAGTATAACAGCCCACACGAATCGAATGATTTATGTGTCGCATATCTGTTTGGAGCCTCCTTGTACCAATGTTTATATGTTTAAATAAATAAAACGAAGTGATTACCATAGTTTAAGCTTATAAACTGCGCATTTCAAATATTTAATTTCTGCTCTTGGTTAATTGTAAGCCCTTATAGTGAATATGTCCTTTTGATACTAATTTGCATTCTTTCATCAAGTACGCTGTGCAAAATGTGAAATAGACCTTCAAAATCATTTAACGAGTTGTGAGAAGACGAATACAAGAACTGAATGGAATTCCAATAGATCTATAGTTTACAAGGACTTTTGTAAGTTAAAAGTCTAGTTTTGTTCAGGGAAACCTAGTGATACATATGCGACAAAATCAGACCCGAGAAAACGTGTAACATACCCCAATTTCACAGAACTCATTTATTTGTTTTGTAGTGAATTGCATATTACTAACTTCAATCGTCAAATCATGATACTTGGTGAATTTCTTCTTTTTCATTACTGTCTTCTTTTTCGGTGAAGTAGAATCTTGCGTGTTTGTTTGGTTGGTATCTACTGGGGGATTCTGACTCTCGGTATCTCCATTGTTAGCTGCGGTTACTTCCTGTTTAGAGTTTGGAGGTCCATCAACTACAGGATTGTCCTCGGAAACACTAACTTCAACTTCCTTTTCATACTCTTCTACTAATTGTGCTTGTGAAATATTAAAAATACCATGGGTATTCATACGCATTTTAAGCTTGATTTTACGAGGCTCTGTGAATAATTGAGAAGCGTCTCCTATTCTGAAAGTCCCAATGACAATATTTTGGTTTGGTAAGTTATCTTTATTCGCATACCGAGCTTCTAAAGTAAAAACACCGTGTCGTAAAAGAACAATCTGGCGTGAAGAGGGAATAGGATGGAGAAAAGGAAAAACTTCGATGCACATATTTTTGCCTTGTGTCGTTAATGTACCATCAATTTCTTCAGTTTGCATACATTGTTCGCTACCTTCCTCTTGATCAAATTGTATTATAATAGGATACAGACATTGTTCAATGACATTGAAGTCTTTCACCTTGAAAGCTGGGGAGCAGATAGCTGCCTATAATGCAAAGATTAAAACCACGTTTAAAGCATAACACCTTTCAAAATATATGGGTTTTGATCACTATAGATAGAGGCTACTTGGATTGCTAAATGCCTTTATTTACTGATTAAAAAATACAGAATTTTCAAATAATACACTTCATATAGTAGGTTCTTGTCGAAGTGGATTTAGGTACGAGGGTCTGCTACAGAACACTACTGGTATACATACGTGGTTTATGGAGCTTTCGATGACACAAATGAAGTATTAGCATTTTTTGTTTATTTGCGACCACAATTCATAAGTTCAAACGCACTATACTGAGCTCAACTGCTTGATGTTTCAGGTCACATTACTACTTACATTCAGAGTCAAACTAGTTGAATATCTAATAGAAAGTAAATTCCAATTAAGATGGTCAATATTACATGGTGATTAAGTCACTACATGCTTTCAATTACCCCCAAAATAGTCCAATTCCTCTGTTTCCTAATCTGGGAATTTGCTGACTTGGAGCATGCAGTTTTGTTTAACGGAGGTTGACAAACTGTATTCTCGAATATAAAGTGAAATTAGAATTACTTGAAAACAATTTGCTTCAGGTTTGGCTTGAGTTAATTATTTGAACTCATCCGCTTACTTGAACAGCGGTTAGTAAGACCTAGGTGTGGATAAGATCTTGCCAATCTAAGCTGTTTCTGAATGATGACTACTTTATGCGACAGTCAACAGCTCTGCTGAATCTGTTTATATTAGTATTCCTTCCTTAAGTAGCTACTAAGTGATAGCGTAGCATCAGTGATTGGGAATTGCTACTGAACTTATGGATAGTTTTTAAGACAGGTTTAGTTAAACACTTTAGATGGACCAATCGAATTAGCTAAAGCAGCTGGGATTGTGAGGAAATACTGATGTCAATAATTTACGACTAACTCGAGAAGTTAGACCAGGTGGTAAAAAGTGAAAACAAACATGAATGAATTAGACAAGTATCTGGAACGTGTAGGTATAAGATCAACACAATCGTTATGAGTTAACAAACAAAATTGTAACAGATCAGTTTTTGGATTTTTCTAAAACATATTTTAGATTATGGGATTCCTAAAACTTGCAAAATACACAAATAAATTCAAATATATTTGCAATGAATACTTGTTAAACCGTCACTAAATGAACTAATCATAGCTATAGAACTCGTTTGAAATTACATTGAATCCAAAGACATACCTGGAATGCACATCCACGAGCGACAGCTTCATCAGCATTTAAACTAGTCTTGCCTTCTTGTTTGAAAACAGACGCGACAACGTTCTTTATCATAGGTATACGTGAACAACCACCAATAAGTTCCACTGAATGTACATCTCCCGACTTTAACTTAGCCACATCAAGACATTTTGTAAACAACATTTGAAATCGCTCCATGAGATCCGAGCACAATTCTTCGAAATCAGTCCGCTTCATCTTATTCGCTAAATCTCGATCTTCTGCAAGGGACTCAACATTGATAGGTAACTCCGAGGAATTAGCACTCATTGACTTCTTGAGCTTTTCACATTCTTGAAGCAACCTTATAGTCGCTTTTATTGAAAGTGAACCCTGCAAAGGTGAAACAACCTAACACAAACTTGCCTTCAGCTTGTACTGTTGCTGAAATTCACTAGCGAATTTGTTGAAAAGTCTTTCGTCAAAATCCCGACCACCAAGAAAAGCATCACACGTAGTTGCAAGGACTTTCATCTTGCCTGTGTTGAAACTGCAAATACCAACTTGCGTAGTACTATAACCAACACTGACAAACGCCACTATTTTCGGCTGTTGATCAGCTGGTGGTAAGTCAGTGTGGTAAAACCCGTACGCAGTACCAACTTACGAGATTAGGAATCCAAGCAGAACTTACTTGCAGTTATATCATTCACTAGCTTCACACAGTTTAATCCTGCAACTTTTGTGGCATCTAATACAGATCTTCGTTCGGCATCCGTGTAGTAAGTAGGAACATTGACAACAACATCGACCACTTTGGAACCAATACTAGTTTCAGTAATTTCCTTAAGTTTATTCATTTGAATAGCCAAAATTTGCTCAGGGGCAAAGGGAGTTTTTTGGCCTTTCAGAAAAGCCTCGACAAAATAAAATAGCTAAATGAAAAGACTTACCGAAAGTGCAATGCGACCATCACGAGTTGCTTCAACTTGATGGGTCATGAACTTTCTTTCGTTCACAACTGAGAAGTCTGACAGACACTTTCCGAGCAGCCGAGTAAAGCTTGTAAAAGTATTCTGGATATTCATAACTTGTTGTAACTTGGCAGCTGTTCCTACAAGGACTAATTCCCCGGAAAAAGCAACACATGTTCTGAAAAGATCAACAACACAGGAGACTTACGGTGTAGCCCTCTCACTATACTCGTTTGTAATCACTTCGACTCCACCACCTCTAGCAACACCAATGTAAGAAGTTAAAGAGCCTATATCGAAACCGACAACTGACACAGCCATGATACAACAACCGAGCTGGGGTATGCAGAAACAGAAGTTATCGCGCTTCGAAGTCTAGAAGGTGGTTCTATTGGGTTCTACCTAGTTAAACAAATTGTCGAATCGAGTTTTCGCGTCAGCCGAAATTTTTTATGCGTAATTGAATCACAAACCAGTATGTGTTTAAGTCTGTGTTATTTAGTCGGATGACTTAAATGACTGTATAAAGGAAATATGTCAGTACTTCGAACTCATAGATATCCACAAATGTAGATTTTCGCCTATTTAAGGAGCACGTGTTTCAGGTTTAGGATATTTAAGGTAGATATTATTGATAGAAGAACCAGAAACTGGTCAAAAAGTAGAATCGCCTTCTAAAACTCAAGACTCATTCCTGAAATATTGACGAATGAACTGCTTTTGGAGACCGGTTTATACATCATCGGAGGGGATTTTCGAATATACGAAAGTGAGATTCCATGATTTATTGCCTATAAAACCGGAAAGAAGAGGTTAATCGTTTGAGATGAACAGCGAGAGGGACCTAGAAAAAGTTGTTTTGTATCGAAAGAGGACATCGAATATTACTTTGGAAACGTCAGTTGATGATGTTGCTCGGCTTATGAACTCTAAAGGCGAAATATTCAATATGTGCCACTTCAGACCTTCCTCCGTTGAACCACTTGATAAAAATCACTTAAATGCTGTGTTCGGCCAAAACATAGAAGTTACAGGACAGCGATGACAATTGTAAGCAATTTGAAAAATAGAAATTATGGTCGCCCATGCTTACCTGAACCAAATATGTTGTAGTCCCAATGATTCTTGATCAACGAAAAAAGGACGTTAATAAAATTCAATAAATCTACAAAGAATATCTTTTTTTGACCGTTAATGTATTAATTTGTTCCTCTGCTGGTTGTGTAAGGAAACAAACATCGTTCTTTGGTTTTTTGTTATATCGTTAGTACTACATAGGCAGTTTTGTGAGCACTCAACATTGATGATCTTGTCAGTATTAATGAGAACCAACTAGGTGACAGAATTAGGATAATTTAATACGGTCTGACGTGGAACGCTTATCCAGCTAAAGAAAGCCCGTTTGGAAGCACCATGTTCCCCTGCCTATGCGTGCAAATTTTGTTCTTCACGGTCATCTTTCTTGTTTGTTTTGGGATCGTTTAGTAAGGCGATACGTGGCTACCAGTATTATCTGATTCTTTCATGTCCATTATACCTTCAAATATCGTCGCAGAATCATACAACACTCTCTATCCCCTATTCTATGCTCGACTACCAACTATAGTTAAAAATTTGAAATTTATCATGTAGCGTCTCACATAGGTAATCCGTTAAACTTATTTCGTTTAATTCGTCATGTTTCATGATAGGATAACTGTTGTGACTCAGGAACATCTAGAATTATTCTAGTTACTCAATATTATTGTATTGGTGATTAACGTACTTGAACTATACAACCGAAAATTATTTACTTGATAAGTTGTTTATCCTGGTTATCGTGCGAACATTTGGGACCCATAGACATGTAGTGTTTCGCTAAGCTGCTACCTTAGTTTTATTATGTCATTGGATTCCCGAAGGTGATTGATGCTTAGTGAACAGTTTGATCAAGTTAATTGTAGAGGCAAATAAATCCTCAAAATCAATAGCTCTGTAAATCTTTGATATTTTATGCTGACAGCATTAGTCTTAGTGGACCCACCTAGTTAAAGACGCTCAGTCACGATCCGCACCAGATCATGTGTGAGTACGCCGTGACTCTTATCTCTCAAAACCGCTATCCAGCATAGATTGGCACCTTTTCGATATATCTATATTCCATCAAATATATCTTCGAAACTCTTCGCTTCTTAATTCTGGTTTCACTGGATTGACACGTTTCGGTTATAAAAGGTGTTACTGGTTAGGGTGTTGTCAAACTCCAAATATTTGTGGTGTCCCTATGATCAATACTTGGATTAGGTCAATACAACTTCCTACTGGCCAACTGTCTGATCTAAGAAGCCACAGATAAACAACACGAAAATCTGTTTATTTACACCAACAAATCAGTATTGTAACTTGGGGGATGTTCGTGTTTTTACATCCAACTGTTTAACTTATCCTCAAGATGTCTAGCGCATAGGTCATGGTCAGTTTGAAGGGTGGAAAATATACTGGCCGTAATATAGATATTTAACCTAGAAGCAGAAAACGACCCAAAAGACTATGGCTCATTCTACTAAGCAAAACTAAGGTGTTGATCTGAATTCAGACCGATAAAACCCTATTATCAGCGGTACAACGTAATGCGGTAATGGAATGAACTAAACAAGGTAAATCCTAACTACAACCAAAAACAAACGGTCTGTCAAAGAAAGCTGAAAAGTAAACAAATATAGCTACACATCCTGGATGTAACCTAATATACATGAAATAAGTATAAAAAAAATTCTGGAAAAAGCAATTGTCATATAAAACACTCCGAAAAGATTTCTAAAGCGTTCATACTGTCACAGAAAGTGACAAAGAGTAAACGTTTGTGGCTCGAAACTATATCTTCCCATATATAATTAATCACTTAGGGGTTACTTCATGGACGATCACGATAACCCACAGGGCGGATGACCTTTCAACTGACCTAATTTGTTGTGAATTGTGGTTGGTCCGCCACTGTCTCTTTGCTAGCTCACGCATAACGATATCAATCCTGAATCTCGAATTTGTGCAGCTCATCATTCAAATCCAAGTCCCTTTCTTTGAAAATATCCACCGTTTCAAGGAGAAAAGCACGCCTATTTTTAAGTGTAAAGCAAGTTCTGAGATTTAGCGATCACTAACATTTAAAAAACCCTGAAAACGTTTCGAAATTTAATGCGTTCATCTGTGTCCGAATAAACGTAATGGGCTTGATGGTTCCAATAAATAACAGACGTTCAGAATAGTAAACAACGCCCACTGTTCCCAGTCGTTAAACAACAAGTAACCAAAACGCACCAGATGTCGGTTCGTTTCACCCCTAAATTGTCGAGGTTTACTATTTTGTCCAACAGCAGGGAAAATATGGACTTCAAGAGAACGAAATTGTTGAGAAAATCCAAATTTCTACTAAAAACGTTTCAGAAGAACCCTAAAAATTCCGGGAAACGTTCTGTAGCGGTAAATAATTCCCCAAAATCAAATAGCTCTGTAAGTTTTCGACATTGGATGCTGACCATAGTTTTAGTGGACTCATCTAGCGGAAGGCGCTCGGTAAAGCATCCGCACCAGATCACGTGTGGGAACGCCGTGCTCAACTTCTGCCTCAATCGCTAGCCAGATTAGTGCCAACGATCCTCGATATATTGATAGATTATCAAATATATCTTCCATCTCCTCGCTTCTGTCTTTTGATTTTACTTGGTGGGTGCGCTTCGTATTAGAAGGTGTTACTGGTTAAAGCGTTGTCAAACTCCGAAAACCTGTGGCATCTTCATTGGTGAGCCCGACGTGATCTGGTACACCATATTGTAAACTGTGAGTCTGTTCCTTTTTGTGATTTCATATATCATTGTCTTATTTTAATTTCTTTTTTTTACATTGTGATATTTTTTTTCCGTGTTTTTGGGTTCATATATATATTTGCCACTCGTTCACCTTTCGTACTTGATATATTACTATGACTGAACAGACACCTAAAGTATTCAAGTTAAAGACTATGTCCCCACCCTCTTTCCAACTTATGCCTTTCTGGCCAGACAACATCGAAGCCTGGTTTTGTTATGCAGAAGCCGACTTCTACGAGCACGGTGTGAACGATGTGCGTGCACAATTCCTCGCAGTAGTCAAGGCACTACCGCGCGAATTCAACAGGTACGTAACACCTAGTATGTTTACTAGTGATGTTGCTGATCCATACCAAACACTGAAACAGGCCATCCTTAAACGCGGAGATCTAACCGATCGACAAAGGTTAGACCAACTCCTTAACAACATCGACCTGCAACACGGTTCTGCCACAGACATGTTGCAAAGAATGCGAGAAGTCATTGGCCAAAGAACCTTCGATGACGGCCTATTCAAGCAACTTTTCTTATCCAAACTTCCTCAACAGGTGCAAGCTGTTTTGGTCTCGTTCCAAAACAACGCCGTAGACGAACTAGCGGCATCTGCCGATCGCATTCTCGAGATCACTAGGTCTCCAAACGCCGAGGTTTTTTCAGTCAAAGAAAAGCCTCAAACGACCCAGAATGACATAACACAGTTGTGTCATACACTTACGCGCTATCTCAAACTCGGTAACGACCGCAAACGATCACTTACTCCGCGGAGAAGCACATCACGTAGGCGATCCGTATCTAGAACTCGAGAGACAGATAATCCTGATTGGTGCTGGTACCATAACCAGTACGGAAAGTCTGCCAGAAATTGCAGAAAACCCTGCAATTTCCCCAATGCGAAATCCGTCGACGCGAAGAACGCTTCGGGAAACTTCCAAGCCGGCACGCGTTAACGGCGACCGTAGCCGGCGAACATAGCCGTCTTTTATATGTCACTGATGTGATAACGAGAGTTCGCTACCTCGTAGATACTGGCGCAGAGGTTAGCGTTCTCCCGGCGAATTCCAACGACAGGCTACACGAGCCTGTTTTAAATCTACAGGCGGCAGACGGAAAGCCTATCGCTACTTATGGCCAAAGGTATGTTTATCTTAACGTGGGTTTACGCAAACCCATTCACTGGATTTTTGTTGTTGCAGATGTTTCTATGCCAATCATTGGTATGGACCTTCTACAACACCACAACTTAATTATCGATACGCGCAAGCGGAGGTTAGTTGACGGAAACACTAATTTATCTGTTTGCCTGACTTCTTTTTCTGGTTGCAGGTTATCCCCAGTCACTATTAAGCACACTATAGACCCCTTCTACCAACCACTACTCGATAAATATTCTGGCATTTACCAATCGCAACCGAAATTGCCGTGTGTAACCAGCAATGTTACACATCACATCACGACTACAGGACCACCTGTATTCTCGAAAGCACGCCGACTGGCCCCCGAAAAGTTAAGGTTGGCGAAAAACGAATTCGACCATATGATAAACTTAGGGATCATACGACCGTCAAATAGCCC